TTGAAAATATAACTTTTTGCCAAAAATGACAAAAATATTCACCAAAATTAGAAAATTGAAGATATTACAAAATGAACAAAACTTAGAGAGGTCCACATGTAGTACCTATATATGTAATATCAAAGCAATTGGACTTGTGGTTTTTAACAAGAAGTTGAAAATATCACTTTTTACAAAAAATGACAACAATATTCACCAAAATTAGAGAATTAAAGATATCATTACAAAATGAACAAATCTGAGAGAGGTCTACATGTAGTACCTACATATGTAATATCAAAGCAATTGGACTTGCGGTTTTTAACAAGAAGTCGAAAATATCACTTTTTACCAAAAATGACAAAAATATTCACCAAAATTAGAGAATTGAAGATATCAACATGAAATGAACAAACCTAAGAGAGGTCTACCCAAGGTACATATACAACAAGTATCAAAGCATTCAGGCTTGTAGTTTTCAAGAAGAAGTCGAAAAAGTAAAACATTGACACGGACGACGACTGACAAACACTCGTATGATAAGCTCCGCTCGACAAAGTTGACAGCGGAGCTAAAAATATGTTGTTTTGTGCTAAAATAAATGAGAACACATAGTATTTAGAATTTTGCATTGTGTTCATTATAGTCAATATTTGAGAATTCACGGAAAATTATTAAGGATCATGACATTTTTCCCACATACTCAAATATACTTCATAAATATACATGTATATCATAAATTTGAATGGTACATAAATAATAATGTAATAAAATGCATATTTTTGGGGAACATTTGATTGTTTATAAAAGTGATGATGTATTGTGAGTATCAAAGATAGAACAATGTTTCATTTCCCCCCAAAAAAGCATGTAATATGTCTCTTTATCATATATCTCATATTTCCATATCACGCCCAAGCGCAGTTTACCATATTTGGTAAACGTGTCTATTTTCTGGAACTACTTTCTGTTTACAAACAACGCGCATAATTTGAGATTATCGTCTATGCTTCGATAATGGCTGACAATATTATTCTGAGAATGGGAAATATACCGAAAGTCCAGTTGGACTCATTATTACCCTGACGAAAGCCGGCATTCTACCACAACCAATCATAATGATAACTAGTCAGAAAAGTTTACAGCACTATGATACTGTCTCCACGGAAGATTATCGGTGCATTTCAGATATTTTTAGTTGAGCTACGCCCAAATCTAGAACTGTAAACCAAACTGCTTCTTGTCAAGCAATTGTTTCTCGTTCACCAACCACAGTTTTTAACAACTGTGAAATCAACGCGTCTCTACCTGCGGCTACAACATCAGCTCCAAGAAAACATCTGTTTGTTATGTATTATTCGGACAGCCAGTAAATGACCAACTTAGCTGAACTGTAGTGTTCATTAAGAAAAAAGTTCATAATAAGTTCATATTTATTACCGTTAAAATATTGTTATAAATTTACGTTCATTTGCTGTTTCATTAAAACGTAATTTGTGGATATATTTGGTGGCATTCGTTTGTGTATTGTGTGAGAGTTGTTCGGACACGTCATTTAGAATCCCCCATATGAATCAGCACCAGTCAAAAGGCCTGTATCGAAACCCAGATTAAATCAAATAGGTTTTCTTTTGGACCAGAGGAGCGAAAAATAGCATAACTGAAGACTTTTTTTTTCATATAAGGTATATGATAAAACCTTTATGAACTGGGTATGGCTTTTGATGCTCTCAATCGTACGGTTTACGTGCCCTCGCAAGCTCAGGCACTTTTGACGCACGACCTCGGGCCGTAAAAGCCGTAAAGAAGTCCATAAAGAATATTATCTGTCACATGACATTTTGATTTTTCAAGTGGGGTGCTCGACTGAGTATAAGAAAGTTTAGAAAGAACTCCTGTGCTGAGAATATTGGAGTGATATTAAAAATTAATTCAAAATTAAGGATTATCCTTTCAAACAAGAAGCTTGACAACTAATATTTGTCTGCTATTTGAGATGCACAACTTGAGTTGAAAACAATGTGAAAGTTTATAAAACTTACAGAAAATAAATTTGATTTTACATCTGTGGTTACAGTCTAATCTATTCAATTTAAATCATTTTTTTTGAGGTATCTGAAACTAGCTAATAACAATTAAATAATCAATATATTATTTATTATGCATAAAATCCTTAGGAAAGGATAAAATGGGTCTTACAAAAAGAAATTTAAAAACTATAAACTAAAAAAAAAAATCCAAGTCTTAAAATATAAAACAAATTAAAACAAGCAGCCTGTCGGCTGAGATAGCTCCGCTGTTAGCAATGCACATGGCAATTAAAGAACAGAAGATATCATTAGAAAATGAACAAATCTGAGAGAGGTCCACATGTAGTACCTATATGCATAATATATCAAAGCAATTGGACTTGCGGTTTTCAACAAGAAGTCGAAAATATCACTTTTTACCAAAAATTACAAAAATATTCATCAAAATTAGAGAATTAAAGATATCATCATGAAATGAACAAATCTGAGAGAGGTCCACATGTGGTACCTATATATGTAATATCAAAGCAATTGGACTTGAGGTTTTTAACAAGAAGTCGAAAATATCACTTTTTACCGATAATAACAAAAATATTCACCAAAATTAGAAAATTAAAGATATCATTACAAAATGAACAAATCTGAGAGAGGTCCACATGTAGCACCCATATATGTAATATCAAAGCAATTAAAGTTGCGGTTTTCAACAAGAAGTTGAAAATATCACTTTTTACCAAAAAATACAAAAATATTCACCAAAAATAGAGAATTGAAGATATCATCATGAAATGAACAAATCTGAGAGAGGTCCATATGTAGTACCTATATATGTAATATCAAAGCAATTGGAGTTGTGGTTTTCAACAAGAAGTCGAAAATATCACTTTTTACCAAAAATGACAAAAATATTCATCAAAATTAGAGAATTGAAGATATCATTACAAAATGAACAAATCTGAGAGAGGTCCACATGTAGTACCTATATATGTAATATCAAAGCAATTGGACTTGCGGTTTTTAACAAGAAGACAAAAATATCACTTTTTACCAAAAATGACAAAAATATTCACTAAAATTAGAGAATTAAAGATATCATTACAAAATGAACAAATCTGAGAGAGGTCCACATGTAGTGCCTATATATGTAATATCAAAGCAATTGTACTTGCTGTTTTTAACAAGAAGTTGAAAATATTACTTTTTACCAAAAATGACAAAAATATTCACCAAAATTAGAGAATTGAAGATATCATCATGAAATGAACAAATCTGAGAGAGGTCTACCCAAGGTACATATACACCAAGTATCAAAGCATTCAGGCTTGTAGTTTTCAAGAAGAAGTCGAAAAAGTATAACATTGACACGGACGACGACGGACAATCACTCATATGATAAGCTCCGCTCGACAAAGTCGACAGCGGAGCTAAAAAAATGAATTAAAAATAAAGACAATTTGCATGTTCAACATTAAACTAATCACTTCTGTGGATTACTCCAGAGCATCTATGAACCAAATTTCAGTGGAATAGACATTATGGAAATTAGGCAATTAGTATGCTTGAATTTCAATCCAAAACTAATCAGGTCTTCAGCATTATCTCGGAATTAAACTAAAACCTAATCGAATCTGCACATTAGCCCAGAGCGTCTATGCATTAAGTTTTATTAAAAACCAATATATGGTTCTTGAGATATCAGTGGAACAGGCTGACACACATATACATGCACACATACATACATGTACATACAGAGACACACAAAGACTTCTACTGTGTGTTTCGCACAGGAGAGTCAAAAACCTTCTTGAAATATATGATAATGAATGAATTTACCCTAAAACAATAAGCTCCCCGTATTTGATTGAGGAAGGCTCCCTTTCGTGGCTACCACTCAGTGACATATTTAAATTCAAAGCTTCCGGTTTATGTTTCTTCAGCTTTATTTCATCTTTCTCTGTAGATCTGCAACAGAAATAATCAAAGAAAGCTTAGAAAGAATTCCCATGTGATGAGAGTAATGGAGACACATTAAAATTAATTCAAAATTTAAGACGGGTCTCATATTTGTCTGCTATTTGAGATGCACAATGTGATCCACATTATTGAAATTTATAACACAACAGAAATACATTTGATTTTACAAAGGAAAAAAACAAAATGGCCGCCCGTTGGCCATCTTGGACAGGATCTTGAAAAAAGTGACATGCACCTATAACCCAATATGCATGATCACCATGGGTTTCAGTCAGAATAATTAATTCCAGAGCATCTCTCCCACAAATTCAATTTCAATCTGAGTTTTTTGTGTTATCAGAAATGGGCTAATAATTAGATAATCAATATGCATGTTTTTCAACATTAAACTAAGCATGTCTGTGGATTATAACAATGAACCAAATGAATTATTATTATGCAAATTAATTCAAGATTCATTGAAATAAGATGTGGCTGTCAATTTTTTTCTTTCATGGGTATGTATATCCATGTAGTCTTACTCATGAAGCATTGGTCGAAGTTATGCCAATTTCAAGACAGGTTTGTATTCTTGTGGTTCCTGCAATAATGAAGAATGATCTGTTCTAGTACTTGCATATTATCCTTTGAACATTAAGAATGTAAAAATATAATGTACACTTTATATAATAATAATATTTTATTGACACAACACTGACACAGAAAGGTACAGTAGTATGGTCTAAAAAAAATAGGACATACAAAATACACCATGACTAGGAATGATAAAACTACAAAAGTAATGTTAAATATTTCCAGAGAAAATAGCATAATGGTAATTTGGTCACAACAAGGAAGGTTAAATTATTGTGGGCTTATTGTGTTTGGACTGGTAGTTGCTCTTTTATACATTAATATTTACTATGTACAACATGATATGATATTAAAGAAATGTTATATCCAAACTGAAATTTTCAATTTGCTGCGCTTTCAAAAAAATAAATTCTTTGTTGTTCATATTTTTTGCATGACATTACAAAAATAGCCTTGTCTTCAATTTTCATAACGTAGCTATATAACTCACAAATAATTTTGTCAAGTAGAATTGTGTGTGACCACCTATTTCAATTTTGAGATAGTGGTTGCTAAGTCTGAATTTACATAACTGTTTTCTCAGTTTGATGCTCTCGATATCAACCAGGTATTTTTCCAGTCTGTTAACATATTTTTTTTTTACATTTTACAGAACACATTTCAATCATGATTATGGCTTTGGAAGCTATTAGTTTATAATGGGGAACAGCGTTAGAGATTTGACTCTAGAACCACATTCATTAAAACAAAAGTGTTATGAGTCAGGGTGAAAAGCAACTATACGAATAAATTATTTTCAAAATCAGTTCAACTACAATGTTAATGTCCTCTCATTCACTTGAGTCACTGAATTCATTTTTTACCTCAATGCTCAAATCAATGTTATACTGTCTTCATTCATTCATTTAGGTAATCATGTACCATATTTACTCTATTAGAAATGCATATGTTCACAGTTAATGTATTGTTCGCACCTATGTAAGTGCATCTACAATACAGTACATATGGTCTCTTTCAGCCGGGTCTTTACTTGTATGGTCGAATCACATTATGTTACTGTCTCCATTCATTCGGGTAAACAGATACGTCTTTTATCTTTATGCTCAAACCAATGTTATTGACACCCTTCATTCGGATGACCGGGTACGTCTTTTACCGCCATGGTCAAATAAATCTCACGTCAATAATAGTACAATTTCAACTCAACAAAAGATCAGAAAACCAGAATACATGTATCAATATATAATATTGGAAACCATGTAAGCAAACGGAATTCAATTAGTAGCTGCATTTTAGTATGTTATCGTGTGAATCGAATGTGGGGACAGTGGAACTGAACTAATTGACTTGATAGAAAGACGTTAATAAAAGAATATTATAAAAGAGTATAGAATAACTCCAATAAAACAAAGTACTTACAGTGGCATGTTATAGGTTTCAGTTGTCACATTCGCCTGTTTATCCACAAAAGCGCCCGACTTGACGGTCTTTAGTCAGGTTTTGTGTAAGCTTTGCTCACCGCTTCATCGTTGTCTTTTTTATGGCTGAATGTCCAACTGGACCGATCTTTGATCTAAAACGACACGCACTGGCCTTCAGCAAAGGAAAAAGAACAAAAGTACAGCAACGCACCGGAAATTTTTCAGCTATCTACGCGATTCGCCTATATATTGTCTAGTGAGAAATGTGATGTTATGGGTCATATGTATAGCCACTTAAGTTGTTGTTAAAATGTGTTGAGGGTTTCTCGCCTCTAAATCTGATGTAAATAAATGATTAAGAATTTATTTTGTAATTTTTGAAGATTGCTGTTGTTTTAGTCGCTATACGGAATCCAATTAAAGTAAGTACTCAAAGTAAAAGGCATATCTGGTGGTTTTTGTGAACTTTTTATGGAGGCGACTTGAAGGGCCTTTTTGTTCCATATTACCGGAGGTCTCGCGATTTGCGAGAGTAAGTGCTGACGTGTTATGCAGGAGGAAGAAACATGGCTCCGCGTTGCAGTGCCGGGGACATGTTGACGCTTTCCAGAAATACTGTTGTTATATTATTTATGGTCATCACACTATCTATTGCGCTGCAGATAAGTGATTTTAAATCGTGTGCGGATGCTGATTGTAAAAGTAAGTGTAATTGTTAATACTTTGTAAGAAAATCTAACGGCCGCATATGTCATCGCATCGTTTTATGCGTCTGCGATCTAGTCGAAGGAGTCATCATTATGATCATCGACCAACCGAGATTATCATCAATTGAGAAACGTAGCTAGGCGGGCTACAGTTACTTGTTTTGCAAGAGTATACTGGCATGCACCTTTTTAAAAAAACAAAAACAAGCCAGATTCAAATGCCTAGAAACGTAACTGTATAACTCGTAGTCTACACTGACCCGGAAGTGAATGTGTATTCATTCATTATGTTTTAGATTATGGTTTAGTTTATTTTTATGTTTTTCATTAATGTAGCACCAGAGAGAAAGCAGTTAATAATTGATCTGTTGTTTACATACTGTAACATTTTTGGAAAAACTTTCCAATCTACCCCACCTCTTATTCTAACTTTAAAGGGCGATAGTCGTCGGACTGTGCATGTGCGACATTTGTGTTGATAAACATTGATCTCCCCACAATTCCATGCATTCTTCTAATGGAAGAGAAGTATGAGATTTTACTTTTGCAAGACTTGCACTAGTTAATTACTCCTCATGACTCCTTCGATATCTTCTAAACATCTAATAAAATACCTAATTAAAGCTTGGTAATGTCTCAGTTTGTACTTGTTGATCTGCGCAACAGTCAAAGTCGCAATCTTTGTTTATATGAGACCCATATATCTCGCGCATGCGTGGCACGAAGACTACCACCCTTTAACTCAACCCCCTAGTCTCTATTACCCCGTTCTCAGTACCTTGAATACTGTGCCTCTGTTCGATTTGGCAGTAATCATGTTACTTTCAAACTTTCGGGGTTGACATGTTTTGTGTTCTACAGTACAAACCACACATAGTGCTCCATGTTTTGCACTGAATGGCAAAATAAAATGCAATGAACCATCATTTCAGCCATCATAGAAGTAGAGTCATGTCTGCCATTTTGTGTGTTGTGTATTTTCAGCAAATATAAAAAAAAAAATTATAGAAATACAGTATTCAACATCTTTTTGACGTTAAATGTGTCATCTCTATTCAAACTTGTGTTGTATATTTTTAGAAGTCACTGGAACACATCAACTCATCAAAATTTATGGAATACTGGTTGACAAATATATTAAACATCAAAACATACCAGTAATGTTAGAAATATAACTTTTACTACCCTCATTCAGCCAAGAATCCAAAATGGGAACTATTTGCTCATATAAACTTTTATTTTTCCAGGAAAATATATTTGTTCAGCATTTTGTTTCTCCTGTATTGGTTCAGTTATAGATTCAAGTTCAGATCATTGCTATTTATTTTTCTGTCCACCTAAAGTTGGTTAACTTAATATGTGACTTTTATTATGTCACTAAAGTGAGATTATTTTTATTTCATGTTTTTCAGCGACTAAACCGAGTGGAACTCTATCTAAGTTATAATAAGATTGACATTTGAACTTACTCAAATATTTCAACATATTTTGAACAACCTCTTATAAATTTATATCTGATAAAACATACTCGGAAGAACGTTGACCAGTTCTTAGCTTGAGTTATGCAAATACCGACTATGTCAACATTTTCCCGTGATGCAATGCACATAACACAGAGAAAACATTCCAAAGACATGCGCATTTATAGTTGTCTAGAGACATATTTACTGTAAAGGGGGTTAATTATTCACTGGGTTTTAATTTTGCTTATTTCACTGACTGGAAAATGGAAAATGCGCTAAATTACAGCAAGTCTCAGAAGTTTTGGGGCAGCCAATTTGCAAACTCGCTAGCGAATTGGCTAACTGCTTGGGTTTTGACTAAACGATTGGTTTTCGAATCTCGTTGGTGCCGTCATGTGGTCACGCCCACTCTGGGTGAACAGTAGGGGACGGTCGTCATAATTTAGTTGGATGGCGATTTCGCTTTCAATTATACCGGGGAAATTGTTCTATTTTTTGTGTGTAATGAGGCATATACAAGGGATTGTCTATGCAAAAACGATGAATGAAGTCGAATTTTATTAGAGGTTGGTTTAATATTATTTAGCATAGAACACATTATCTAAATAATAAAACCGTGAGTTTAAAACCCACTGAATATGCCTGAAATGATGAATCAGTGAAATGTACTCCCAGTGAAAATTAGTCATTTTACAGTAACTGAATTGGAGGGCTGGAGGTTAGAGTAAGGGGTGGAGCTACATTGGAACATCTGTCCAAAGTTACTAATCAACCTATAGATCATCTGAAAGCTTAGATATATCTTATATTATGGTAAGGAGTTAATTTATTATACGTGACATAGTGAAATATTCAGACAGAACACCATGGCCTCATCCTGATGTTTATCGAGTATGGTAGTATCTGTCATAATTAATAAGCAAATACAGCATGGATACACCATATCCCAAGTAACAATAACTTACATTAGGGCAAGGCCATGACATTGTGTTATTACATATGTTTCCAGATTTTACAAAAATCACCAGAAAGGTTTCAACCACTTCATCCAAGAAGTGCTTGCAATGGCAGTGACCTATTTTAAATTTTGTCTAATGGTTGGTTAATCCTGTGCTCCATTTTATTCATATGCAATTGTTGGCAGATGTGCTCTCGTAACTGTTTTGTAAGTTAGCAACAAAAATGCTGGCTGCCAAATGAATCAAGCAAAATAAAAATCAAAGATAAACAATACATGTACAACCTTTGGATATTCCTTGAGACATACATGTAGGGCATCTTCATTGATATCAAAGAATGAAATGCTCCTCCTTCCTGACTGTGACTCTGCATCCAGAGAGTACATGTCATTGTCAAGGCGAGTTTTGCTTTGATCCAGGTTTAATTTTTTTTTAATATAATGACAGTTTGATTTGTTACTCAATTAAAAAAACAACTCATTTGCATAATTTGCCATGAAAATATTGAAATTATTATTACAAATTATTAATTTGCATAGTTATTTCATAGCTTTTGATAATATTTGTGCAAAAAAATGATGATTTGGAGGTTTTATTTTTCAAATATGCGTAACCATAACATTAAGCAAAAAAAATAAAATGTAAACATGCACTGTGGCAATTCATGTTGTGCATCGAATTCATGAAAACTCAACTTGTGAAAGGACTATTTTATCTTATTTGTACATTTTGCAGTCAGTACCAATATTTTTAAGCAAGGCTATAACTATGAATACCTTGGTACATATGTAATAAAATACTGAATAGAATGAAGAATATAATATAATATACAACAAATAAAATTTAATTTGATACTACGTTGTATCATGAAAATGTGTTAATCATCTGAAAGCATGAAATGCAGTGTTGACGTTCAATAAAGAAAATAATAATATTAAACAAATGCTTACTGTCTGTCTGGTTGCAAGTTTTTTAGATTGGGTTCAAAATGGCTGACTGATGGCCATTTTTCCAATACATGAGTCATATCTCATACTTAAACCAATGAAGTGTAAACTTTACAAATACATCACAACACATTAGGTCATATGTATATCTCATGTCTATAATACAATCATGACTTGTTTGCATACTAAGTCTATATTTTAAAGTGCAACAGAGGGTATACATAGGTAATGTGTGCAAAATATCTGTCAATCTATACAATTTGAGTATAATAATTCTCCAAACCTTAACAAACAGTATAATCATTATGTTTTGTATCACTAGTGACATTAGTCTCATATTTCACACTTCCTTTCATTTAGAACTGTTCAATAGTGTATCTATTCTACATGATATGGGTTTACATGTGAAATATAAACACTAGTAACATATTTTGTTGGCGAGTCGTTTGTAGCAAATGACCTAATGTGCTGGGTTTATCAGCTGTTGTATTTAAATACACAACTTTGTATTTATTTCAAAAGATGTTTACACCAGTTGCTGTTTTCGGGGATTAATGGGACGGGTATGCATTAGTTTACATACAGTTAATTCATTAATTATTCACTGGATTTTAATTTCGATATTTTCGCTGATAAGTAAAATCTGCTAAAATAAATTTACTTGAACATGTAAAATAACAATAAAACTCATTGTTTCCTTGACAAATTTATGATATTAAAATACAGTGAATATGCTCAAAGCATTAAAATAGTGGATGGTTGATGTTTTGAAATTAATCCTGAGTATGTAGTGCAATCCCTTAGATTGAGTACTCAGACAACTAATGAACACTGGCAACGCGGGGTACACTGTATGTCTTTTGATTTAACTTGTGTGTCGTGTTTACTTTTGCGATAGTGTTTTAATCTTAATAACAACTGGGGGAGAAAAGAAAATGGCCACAAAGTCACGTGATAACGCATGACTTGTTTCAACAAGAAGTGATGCGAAGCGTCAGACCGAAGTTTCATATTTTTAGCTCCGCTGTCGACTTTGTCGAGCGGAGCTTATCATATGAGTGATTGTCCGTGTCAATGTTTTACTTTTTCGACTTCTTCTTGAAAACTACAAGCCTGAATGCTTTGATACTTGGTGTATATGTACCTTGGGTAGACCTCTCTTAGGTTTGTTCATTTCATGTTGATATCTTCAATTCTCTAATTTTGGTGAATATTTTTGTCATTTTTGGTAAAAAGTGATATTTTCGACTTCTTGTTAAAAACCGCAAGTGCAATTGCTTTGATATTACATATATAGGTACTACATGTGGAC